GATCCAGTCAAGGTTCATACATTGTATTTAGTTGTTACATTTAATTTCCTTTAATCTAAAATATATATTTAGTTGTTACATTTAATTTCCTTTAATCTAAAACATATATATATATATATATTGCCACCCTATGTTGTTATCCCGAGCCAGTGTTCTCATCTACAAAGTGAGAATACTAGCACTCTCATCATAGGATTGTGTGAGGATTAAAGTAGGTGATATTGCAAATTATAAAGGCTATACACAATTTTTTGTATGCATTTTATACTACATTTATTTTTTATTTTTCTATACGAAGTTATTACGACATAAAATTCTGTACCCATTTAGCAATAGCTTGTTTTATACTACATTTATTTTTTATTTTTCCTTTTTGTCTTTTTTACTGACCGGTAACGGGATTGCAACCCTCGGTGTCAGGCCCGCACCGCGCTCAGCCAGTGAGCAGGAACCGGTCTCCACATGGGATCCGAACCCTCAGCGGGAGCGCCACCGCGCTCCCAAGTGGCGCACTGGAGAGCCGGCCCTATACTACATTTAAATGAGTTATTGTTCTTTCTTTGATATTTTCTCCATTTTAACTTAAAGGGTTTGGAATTTTTTTTTTGTTTTTTAAAAAAATGACCGGTAAGGGGAACTTAACTCTTGACTTGGTGTTGTCAGCACCACGCTCTCCCAAGTGAGCCACGGGCCGGCCAGAGGGTTCAGAATTTTGTATTTTTGTTGTTGGTGGTGGTGATGGTAAGACTTGGAGCTAAGCTAACTTTTTGATTGGGCTGTATTAGGAAGAGTAGCTTTGAAGCTAGGCTATTTAGGATCAAGTCGTAGAATCTCAATTGCCTTATTTTAAATGGGGATGTTAATGGCTACCATGTATCATAGTGGTGATCACCACTGTATCTCCCAGTGCTTACACAGTGCCTGGCATAGAGTAAGAACTTTATAAATATTGTAGGATAAATATTGAATGAAAAAGATGTTTGAAGGATTAAATGACATGTAATGGATCTAGCACACTGTCTGACAGATAGAAGGTATACAAAAATTATATTGCTATTTTTGTTGACAACTTTAAAATTATTAAATAAATTTCTTTGGAATGTATTTATAAACACATGAAAATAAAAATAAAAAAAATTTTTTTTTTAAAAAAGATGACCGGTAAGGGGATCTCAACCCTTGGCCTGGTGTTGTCAGCACCACGCTCAGCCAGTGAGCAAACCGGCCATCCCTATATAGGATCCGAACCCGGGGCCTTGGTGTTATCAGCACTGCACTCTACCGAGTGAGCCACGGGCCAGCCCTAAAAAAAAAATTAAAAAAAATCCTAACCACACAGACACCCTGGTCCTGAAAACCCTCCTGCCAGGGGGTCAGGATTCTGGCTGCCTCTACTTAGGAACCTCCCTCCATGTGGGGATATGCAGGATATCTAGATGGGGGTGTACCATCTCCTAATCCATACACTCCCATTGAGATAACCTGGAACCCAACCCCGTAGACTGGAGCCCAACTGAGATTAAGGCAAAATTCTCCCTGCTCTGGAGGCAGGTCTGCAGGGAGCGCCATCTTGCAGAGTCAAGTCTAGCCTCCCCTAATGTCTCATGCCAGTGAGGGTACTTGGATTTCTACAACCAGGCCCGGGAGTTGAGGTGGCAAGGGCTTGGCCCAGCCAGGCTGCTCCTGACCTGGCCTGCCATGCATCCTCTGAGAGCCCCTGCGACCCAGACTCAAGACATTCTATCAGTCTGTCCCTGGAGCCAGTCAGATCAGCCACGAGCCTTCGGATGAGTGAGGCTGCAGGTCACACAGGCCCGTGAAGGTGAGATCCTCGGAGTGCGGGGCTTGGGGTCCATGGCATTGTTGTGCTCCTAGCAAGGAGGCCTGTCCCTTTGATACCCCAGCCAAGTAGATCTCCAGGGTCTTGAGCAGCCGCTTTGGGCTCTTCTTGGCCAACACTTCCAAGTCTGGAACAGAGAGGATTGGGGAACAGAAGGCTTGAAGGGGCTTTGGATGGCACAACAGTCAGGGGCTCAAGCCTAGCAGCTCTGGGGAGCAACTCTATCCTATAGAGAGAAAGGCAAAAGAGCCTCCTAAGATGGAGAGATCACCAGAGAGGGAGGCCAAGGAAGCAGACACAGCCACAGGACCACACACCCTACCTTGTCCAGGACAATCTCAACTCGGAATAGTCAGTCCAAATGTTGAACCCCAGCATCCAACTTTTGATTCAGAAAGTCTGATCATCAGGGGTGTAAGGTCAGGAAGGGAGGAGAGGGTGGCAGAGGAAGAACTAGTGGGCTGCAGAGGGCGGGCTGGCAGAGACTTCAGTAAGCTGGGATTTGAGAAAGTATGGATGGGGTGGGGGGAGGAACTGCAGCCGAAACCAGTCTAGCAACCACCCTGAGGTCTCTGACCATAAGGCCTCCCCAAAAGAAAGAGCACACCTTTGAGGACAAAGCTGGAGTCTGAGATGGTCTTCTGCTGTGTCCTCCAGACATGTGCGAGGTGGAGGAAAGTGGCAGCGTAGAAGCTATTTACCACCGGGATGACCTTTTGCTGCCGATTACACTCCCTACAGGACAAGGGAGGTGACCTGCTCAGCAGTGGATGAAGCTGACACCTGGGTGCCTCCCACCCTCCCTTCCCCAGGGTGACCAGCCCAAACCCAGGACACCCCATCCAAGCAGCCTCCACCTGAGGCCAGGTTGGGGAGGAGAGATGGGCCAGGGAGGCTGGCGTCCAGGGACTGTGTGCAGGCCCTCCAGGAGCCCACAGGTGAGGAGCAGAGTGGGGGGAGATGAGGCAGGGCTGGGAATGAACCAGGCTCTGCTGGGTCACTCTAGGCAGCCAGCAGCTGGGGACTCACCTGGAGAGACACTCCTCCCTCAAGGCCTGGATGGCAATGTGAGTGATGTTCACGGACATCAAACAGAAAGGGAACTGCTGGAATGGAGAGGCATGGGTCAGTGGCAACCGCACTCTCACCGTGTGTTTTCTGTCCTTGGCAGCCTAGCATGGCCCGTGGGCCATCACAACGCCAGAGGCAGCAGCTGACGTTACTGTTGCTTACACTCAACCTTCCCAACAATCTTCCCATCTTACACAAGAGGAAACTAAGGCTCAGCGACCTTAAATAACTTTCCTAAGGCATGGGAACCAGGATGCCAGCTGAGATTATCTACCCTAAGGCTGGTGTGCACAACCCCTGTGCCAGATCTCCAGCCTCTTCAACTTCCTGACCCTTTACCTCTCTGTGGCTTTCACCAGACCCAAGCCCCAGGGTTAGGATGAACACAAGAGGGGTGAGGCTCAGTCCTCTCACTCACTCAAAGGGCTTAGTTGCCTCTCTGCTGCTCTAGGCTTTTAGTTACCTGGCTGCTCATGAGCTGCTCACCCAAAAGCAGACAGAGAAGATGCAAGTGGGTAGAACGCCAGCCCTGACTTGCTGGCACACCCGACGTCTCCATAACACAGGGGCCTGAGAACTAGCTGTGCGGGTCACACTCCCGGGTGGAGGAGGCTGAG